TATATATTGGCTTTATAATTTTATTTTTTAAATACAAAAGCATCAGTAAACGATAATATAGTTTTTTTTTTTTGCAATGAGATATGAAGCTCTGCACAGATAAAACTTTGTTGATGAGATGTGATTAGGTTTTTTCTTGGATGTAGTTGATGGGTTAACAAGTCTTGGGTTTAGAAATTTTTGGGCTACAATTGGGGAAAAGCCCAAGTAGGTAGAGAAAAATTAATATATTGGATCGGTTTTCATCAACCAATCCAAAAACCGATCCAATCCAATTAAAATTTGCGATTTTTTTTTATTTTCGATTTTTTGATTTTCGGTTTATTCGGTTATCGATTTTTCGGTTCGGTCACTGCAATTGGAATCGGTTTGGATCGGTTGATGTTGTATCAGCAAATCCGGAAAGAGCTGTAGTATCTTTAAATTAAAATAAAAATTTATCAATTAAACATTTTATGCGTTTTTTGTATAATGTTTCATAATTTTATATAATTTTAATGTCTTACCAGGATGATGAGGGTCAAACATGTGATAATGTTGATGTTGCTGATGTTTCCCTCACTTTGTTGTCACCGTTGATTATAAAATCTGATGCCGACAAGGAAGAAGATTTTAATTGTTCAATTAATTGTCCTAACAAAAAGATTAAGATAGATAAAGAGTTAAGTACTTACCCATTATTTATGTGTTTATAATTTTTTACTACATATTATTTCTATATTCTATATCATTAATATAATATAGTGACTCAAACATTTTTTTTTAAATTAGTTCTATTGTTGAAGTCAAAGCCACTTCGCTGGAGAAAGGGAAGTTGTGTATGGACAGAGCTGCTGGGGAAGAAGTTGTGTAACATCAACATAGTTGAGTGTTGTTGAACTATATATTTGAGAATTATTAGACAATTAAGAAATATATAATGTCTTAATATTTATTTAACGTTTGATTGAACAATTATGGAGGATTGTCTAATGTTTAACATGAGGTTAAACATTAATTATTTGATGTTATGATATTTAATACCAGTGTTTTAAAACTCAGATCGACCCGAGTCTCGGTTACCCGATGAGGGCACTGATTCGAGTGGCCATTTGGATTGGCCATGCACTTGACTCGACTTAGACCGATTGACTCGGCCGAGTCTCGACGAGTTAGTGGGTTAAACGAAAACTAGTTGACCCATTTTTATTTAATTGTTTTGGAAAATTGACCCCTTTTTTTTAAGTTTGCTTCTTATTCAAACAAAAGAAGGGGGAAAAGTCTTAAGCAAACTGGACCCATGAGTTGGAAATGGAAGGAAGATCCGAAAAATAATTTGATTTTTCAACTTAAAAAATAAAAAAGAAACAAAACTCTAGTTGAGACTATGTATAATAGCCAGCTTTTTGTCCTTCCCTAAATGTGCATTCATTCTTTTCTTTATATTAATATATTCTATAATAAATTCTTTTCTTCGTATTAATATATTCTGTAATTGAAAAAAAAATTACGATAGAATTTGAAAAATCGATATTGTTGTTTCAGTTATGCTTTTATATTTATAAAGAAATATCCATAGTGTAGTAATTTTTTATCTGACATTTGCTCTGTATCGTTTCAAAGTGCATAAAATCTTAAAGATGATGATCTTTTTCTGTCTCACTTTTTTACTAGCTTGTTATGGTCGTTGATTCGCGAGATCCTTGAAGATGTTAGACTCAGGAGAGATGATGAAATGCGATAATTTTACATATTTTAGTTAATATTATTCTTTTATTTTTATGCATTCCAGTTACCTTTATGAGGATTAGATTAAAAAATTGTATATTATGCAAACTGTTAAGATAAAAAATATAATGTTGTCGCTTTCTTTTGCATATATAAATAACATTCTTCTTTCAACCAAAAAAAAAATAACATTCTTCTTTAATTTGTAGCATTTATTACAATTCACTTTCTTCATATATTATAAGTAATATATTTATATATTTTTTTAATATGTGAACAGTATATCCGGTTAAACCAATGACCCAATGCCTCGACCGAGTCGATGGCTGGTCCAAGTTTTAAAACATTATTTAATATAATCTAAATTTTTAGTGTTTGTTTTTCTTCTTCTAAAGTTAACCTTCTACAATAATTAATATACAATAATTTGCTTATTACTTGAATTTGGACATATTTATTCCTATGTTTGATTACGAATTGTTTTTTAATAAAATACATTTATGGTAAACCATCTTCAACTAAAAAAAATGAAGAGACACCTTCTGCATCGTAAAACTATGTTTGTCATTAAATTTTTTATTATTCATGTGTGTAACCTTCAACCAACTTCTTTTATTTTATATGCATCAAGAAGTTTATTTTTTTATTTTTTTTATAAATTACATGTTAGTCTCTTAATCCTGATTATTTTCTGAAACCTTTTGATATTCTTTTTTTTTCCTAAACCTTCTTTCAATGGTTGATTCTTCATCTTCTGCAAAGCGATGAGCGATTGAGAAACAGAGACAGTTGGCCCTGAAATCTCTTCCAAAGGATTTATTATTGCATATTTTTAGAGTCACTAATATAACATTTTTAGAGTCTATTATGGAACAATGACCGTTTTGCCATGTTTCACCAAAATATTTTTCCATGTTTCACCAAAATATTTACCAGACTGCCACGCCAACAGTAAAATTTTCCAGAATGCCACGTGGCATAATTCGCTACACTGTGTAGCGAATTATGCCTGCTGATGTGTCACCTCCCAAATGGCCACATAATTCGCTACACATGGTAGCGAATTACGTGGACAAGATGGCAGTCCTGCACAGTCAGCCCTAGGACACGTGTCAATGTAGCGAATTATGCCTGGCTTGACACGTGTCCTAGGGCTGACTGTGCAGGACTGCCATCTTGTCCACGTAATTCGCTACACAGTGTAGCGAATTATGCCACGTGGCAGTTTGAAAATTTTTACTGCTGGCGTAACAATCTGGTAAATATTTTGGTGAAACGTGGCAAAATGGTCATTGTTCCATCTATTATAGACACTATTCAATATTAAGTTGGAAATCTCTTATCTATTTTATCTTTTTATTTTTCAGTAAACAATTATTTCTTTAATAATTGTGTCCTACAAAATTTTATTTATAGAATTTATTTAAAATTTGCGTTAACTTTTACGAGACAAACAAACAATTTATTTTTTCTCCGTGATCGCATGGGTAATAAACTAGAATATATATGGGAATAACATTTTTGCATTTGTGGCAGAAAAAAAAATCCTGCCACAAAGAGTAAATCAAGAGTAGATCCATCATTTAATTAATTTCTCTCTCCTTATGGATTTCTCTCTTCTTGATTTACTCTCCGTGACAGAAATTTTTTTCTAACACCTATGCAGAAATTTTTTTCCAATATATATATTACTTTTATATATATATATATATATATATATATATATATATATATATATATATATATATATATATATATTACTCTGCCATTGCAATTATGATAGAAAAAGGTGAAAATATTTATTTTTAAATAAGACAGGCCGGCACTAATTATAAAGTACGGTTATATTTACAAACTTAAAGTTTATAACTTTTATAAATTACACTATATACTACCCGTAGAACATACTACTTGAGCATGTACTACCCATAATACATAATGTAGTTTGTAAATATAATATATTCCCTAATTATAAGCAATTTTTAAAATAAGGTGAGCTTGATTCGAACCAAACATCATCCTAAGCTAAACCAGGCCAAGCAAATTTTTTTCAGACAAACATTAAGAGGTCTAGTTCAATACATGATCGAGAAAAGATATGTATAGGGAAGCTTTTGAATCCATTTTCATTTAAATAGTAAGACATATATAGCATATAAACTGCAAGCTTAGTAAGATATTACATAATAGATATCACATCACATAACAAGTAGAATAATTTAGGCACATTAGGTTCATCTTACAAAGTATTGAAGATTAATCGACATAATAATATGTTCGAATTTCACCCCAAAAAAATGATAATATGTTAGAATAATAGAATGAAATGCTTCTAATTAAGACCATAAATACTTTATGATAATAAACATTAGACAGTGAAGTGTAATTATGTAAGCAATAATAGGAAAAGAAGTATAAAAGAATACAATGCATAATAGAATTATAAGGAAATAAAAGTCGGAACAAATTCATCTTTAAGAAAATTAGAGTGGGCCTTTAGAGAAGATATAAACCCACTTGAATTTCATATATGAGATTTGATTTTCAAATCAAATTGTGTTTAGAATTTAAAAAAATTACGTGATATTTTTTTAAAAAAAAAATATTATTTTCATTACTTCTATTTGCATGTCGCAGGAATTGATTTGATTTTAAATTGTTTATAAATTCACCATTTCATTCTTATTGAATAGTCTAATCAATAAAATAAAATTAATTTTATTTATAATGAGATCAATTTCTAAATCCATTCAAATTTATTTTTTTTCCTCAAAGGGTTCCACACAAAAAATTTGATTTCAAAAATAAAATCAAATCAGATTTGGACCCATACCAAACGGGATGAATGGTCCAGTTCAACAAAAGGCTCAGACAGCAAAGAAAAGCGTACTGATACCTTGTTATCCAGCTGAGTCTACTTATCAAAAGATATGCTGATGATTAAAGGATGGTGTTCAAAAGTTCCGCCCAGTAACGGCGTGTCTGGGAAAATTTATTTCCGAAGGGTATTTTTTTTTGTTTTTTTTTTCAAAAAGTAAAAAAAACATAATAATAATTTAAGTAATATAATATAAATACTAAAAAGCAATTTTTTTTAAACTCTATTAAGAATCTGCCAAAAACAATAATTATTTCTCTAAAATAAGTTAATCTATACGGGCATCCTTTTAAACAAAGAAAAACCATGTATTATGAGAGAATGCAATTCTTTGAAAGCATTAAAAGCCACAGATCATTAATAAAAAACGAAAAAAAAAATGCCACAGATCCAAGACAAGAAAAATATACTCCAAAGGCATCAAGCTAAGCTAATAAAAAACGAGAACAAAGTTCATACATTAGAGGATCAGAATATCTTCTAGTGCACAAGTTAAATTTCAACAAGACATTTGCCTCTTTAAGCGATTCTTAAAGACTACATTGAAAAAAGTACAACACACAACAGCTTAAAGGTTAAGACTAAATATTAAAGGAAAGGATCATAATATCATAAGTTAACATCTCTGCTAACTAGTGGAGATATGTAGCTTGGTACTGATAGCCATTTCCAAAGTAGTTGCCATGACTAGGAGAGAAGTTATATGTTGCAGTGCTTAGTAGAGGAGGGCAATGATTTTCAGTTGGTCCAGGGTACATGTAAGGTCGATCATACACATACTGTGGATACCTATCAGCAACTCTAGCATAGGAAGAAGTTTTGTCAGAAGGAATGTTAGTGACACGAGGACCATATCCCACACCATTAGCACGGGGTCTCTTGGGTTGAGGCTTTGTAGCTTCAGTTTCCCTTTTCTTGTCAGCTTTGGCCTTCTCTAGTTGGACCACTCGTTTTTGGAGAGGATCCAGAGGATACTGCAGATCAAGTTTATGTTCTTCAATGCACTTGATTACAGCCTTTAGTGCAATCAGCTCTCGTTCATTAACCTCAACCTGAGACAAGAAGTCACTAAGCATATTAAAAAACAAAAAACAAAAACAAAAGCATTGTATTACCACAAAAACCAATTGAGAATCAAACAAAGACATCTCATGGAAGGTATCTTGAAGAATGCAAATAAGGACCTGACAGAAACACGAAAGATATGCTTTTGTAATTTGTACATGTGTAGACAGACGCATATAGACACAATCATTAGGCAACCCGAGAGGATAGTTTCTTCCATCAAATATTAATTGCACTTATAATCCCTCTAATTTTTTGAAAATCAAGCATTTTTCTCCGTATTGTTTCAATTGTACCAATGTCAGACTTCACAAATTTTATCAGGAGTAATTATGTAAAATCTCTTAAATGACATTAAATCTATTCACAGAATGAAATGATGTGCCTATCTTTTCTGGTTTGGCATGGCACAAGCTGACTCAGGCAAACAAGGACTACTAGAATTATCCACATAATCCAGTCAGCATCACTAACCATCCCCCTTGTCACAGCCACCCCACACTTAAGCAGAGAGCTTCTGTAAAACACCAGCACAGGTGTGATTCGGAGACTCATGATACACTATGATGGCTGAGAGGTAGAGAAAGACGGTGCTGTTCTCTATGTGGTGCATCAGTGTTGTGTTCTTTTGCCAAGGGGAGCAGTGGCAAATGCCAACCCACCTAAATTATTCCCAACTCTTGTCATTGCCCTTTTCAAATAACATTGTGCTACATCTTTCAAATGACTATGTCATCAGGGAATAGAAAGCCACCACCACTGTGGAGCTAAATACTGTATACCTCAACAATTGAACATACAGAGCATATGCAAAGAAGAGCAAAGAGAGCTCGAGAATCATCTAATCTAAGAGATCCATCTCTCATCTAAATCTACAGCTAGTTCTTTGTACCCACCATTGATTCAGTCGTGCATGTGCACAGTGAAGCCATCAAAGCAATCGAAGCCAAAAGTAAGGGACCCATTAAACAGAGTTCAATGTTGCTCTTATGGTTCAAGCCATTCAAGGTAGCTGGGTGGTGGCAGGAAGGAGGAAGCCACTCAAGTGCATGACAATATCAAGGTTTATGCACTTTCAAGGAATAAGGAGGCTAAGGCTGATGGCCCTGTACAGCTTATGCAATTCTAGGGTGTATATCATGGGAGAACAATGCCATTACTTCCAACCGTGACTGTTTGATCATACATTCTTTATGGGATAAGAATAGAATTGTCTTAAAGACTTCTCTTTGATGCTCTGCCCATAATTGTTTCAAGAGAATACCTATTAACTAATATGTAAATATATCGGACAGCTTTGTTGCACTTTTTAGCCACTTTGGCTTGTATTACCTCTCAAAAAGAGGTGTTTGTTACTTTTTGTAAAAGATGCAATTTTAGGTGTTCAGTGAACATATACAGCTGCTTTTTGTTGACTGATTTCTGAAGAATGTCTAAGCTGCCTTTGAAAACTACATTTGCTTCCGTATTTTACATTTTTTATTCACCATAGGTATGCTTCAAGATGTACATTGTTCAAACATCCAGGAAGAATATTATAAAGTACTAGAATAATTTACTATGCAAAACAAAAGAATCTCAGACGTACATATATTCAATATTTGAGGTCAAATGGCATGTAGTAATACACCCAGTAAAAAGCAAATCACTGACAACCCTTAAGCTGATGAGCAAACTAAAAGCTCGCTCCGTAATCACTTTACACTAGAATCTCCAAGAGCTTTCTCAACAAGCAGAGTCCTAAAGTCCTAAACACCAAGGTTAACAGGTTAAATTAATTTGCAGTTCTAGTTTTTTATCTTATTTGCCAGACTCTATTTTGTCACATATTGTGTTGAAGTTAGTGGTATGCCATTATGGGACAAAAATAAAAGAGGATTAAGAACCAGAAGCAGAAGAAAGAGAGAGAGAGGAGGAGGGGGGGGGTAGCAGAGCATACCCAATGCCCCTAAGCTTCTGAACAGTTCAGAATTTCCCTACATTTTTTTCTGAACAGTGCAGCTTTCACTCAAATGTTTCTATCCTTGACCCTGATAACATACATCGCTGCAGATGAAGCTGAAGAACCCAATAAGTCAGAAATAGACCAAACAACTAGCCCAACCTGTGGCCGAGTACTCTAGCAAGAAAATCATGAAATGAGCAAGTTACATTAAGCAAAGTGGATGTCCAAATTCATTTAACAAATTGGTCATTTCCCACTTAGGCTACCAGCAAAACCTGACTGGCCAAAATAGCACCAAATAAATATAAACACAAGAGCAAGACACCATTACAAATAATGTTAGAACATGATCTTACCACACAACTAGTTTCTACTACAGAAAACATTCCTCTGTAACTAACTACCAAGCAAAATATTGAATGATAGCAATAAGAATATGGGGAACCTTAATTAGAAATGGACAATGTAAAAAACTATTTCAACCAAAAAACTTAAATTGTTAAGTGATACCACATTAATGGTTTTATATTAATAACTCTAACACACATGCTCATGCAAGAGCCCTTGGGCTTAAAGCGTAGATAATGATGCACAGGTTTAATTTTTTGGTTTATCATATGCTGATTTTAACTTACTTTTTTTAATTTTAGTAGAGAATAGGGGCGGTGAAGTTCGAGCTCATGACCACTTGGTCACAAGCTCTCATACCATTTAACGCAACCAATTTAACCCAACAATTTAAATTGGTAAGTGAGACCACATTAATTGTTTTATATCAATATCTTTAATAGACAAAAAGAACTAGGCAATATTTCAGATCACTGGTTCAAATCATTAAAAGAAAACAACAGAGGGAATAATTACTTAATATAGCAGAGACTCAACAACACACCTGTGCAGTGGGAGATGAGTTAACACTTTTAACAGGAGAAGCTTTTCTAGCATCCTTCAAGTAAGACTTCAGTAAAGAAATGGGAGAAAACTGTTCTGAAAGATCAAATGCAAAAGCCAAGTTGACGGCATCGATTTGCCGTCCACTGTTAACCAAAACCCCGATTACACCTGCACATCCAAAAAGTAAAACAAAGCTTTAAAACAAACGGATGCAATAGTTTAGTTGTTTTACTCCATAATTGATATAAATTGTAGACTCATGCATGAGACTAGCATGTTAAAAGCCATTTGGGAAGCTTCTAATAAACTAAGGTCTTGGGCTCTCATTAAAAAGTCATTCACTGCGGCAATGCAATCAGCCAGGATCCAAAAACTCTGTTAACATAAAATTTATATAATAATTTATATTATATTTGATTATTTGCAAAATCAGTTTTCACTGAATATCCTAGCATATTAATGCACACAATTCAATTGCTATAAATGATTTTCAGGAAAGAATTGAGTCATCAACTCATCATAATTCAAGTTTCCTTTAGCTTTTCCTTTCATAATTTAACAAGTACCACCAAGCAGCCACATTGACGAAGACTGGAAAAATGCAAAAAGTAATTATTCAATATTTGTAGAAATTGGAAAAATCCTGTTACTAATATGGTGGGTTTGGCAGATACTTTAACAAGAAATCATATTGTAACAGAAAGAAAACTAAGAAAAAAACTTTTTGTTATTGAAATTAAATTAAATTAAAGAAAAAATGATACAGAGGTAATTAGATGAAAGAGTTGTGCATAAAATAAAGGAATAATAAAAACAACTTTTTCTTTAGTCGCAACAGTTTTAGATAAATATTGTTCAAAATCTCAGATGGTTCATATAAAACATTATAAAAGAACAAATACACACCCGGCATCTTCTCTGACAACCCAAGGCAGCGGCATAAATCAGCAGTTTGGCGACGCCGAGACACCATTGGAATCAGCCTGGATAACTCCTCCTCGTTAAAACCAGAGGCAATACCAAAACTGGCCAGAAGTTGCAAAAATGCATGAGCCTCCAAGGAATTCCCATTGCTAGCATCCATGTCAAGAGCATCCAATCTAGGTTTCCACTCTTCAGCAACCGCCTTTGCCCTGTCCATGATATCTTCTGAAATTACATTAGAAACACAGTCTGAGTTGGTCAGGAAATCACTCAGACATTCCATCAGCATGATACAGGTTCGGCGAAGACCCAATAAATTAGCATCCTTCTTTACATCCTGATTTGACACTTCCATACAGTAAAACCCTTCCAAAGAATCTAAAACTAAACGGGCAGCATTAGGAGCGACTCTTAATGCATATGGTATTTCCTCCCTTACAGCAGCAAGGTTCTTGCGGTTGTCAGATATGAACTTGTGAAGTCCTCCAGCATCCATCTCTTTACATAGTTTTACCAACTCTGGATAAGACATCAACTCCACATTTCTGTTTTCAGGAGAAAGTTGCACATCATCAAAATTACCTTCAGCAGCAATGGACACAGCAGCATCCACTTGTTTCTCCTCCACACCTGGTGTCCCTTGACCCCCATCAGAGACAATAGCCAACTCATTTGATGAAACCTTCCTCTGCTTTTCTCGAGCATTTACAATGGCAAATACAGCAGCATCTCTTTTCTCTTGAAGCCTCTGCAATGAGTCTTTCTCCTTGGCAAAAACAGCTGCTTCCCGCTTCTCCAAAATTTCTCGAGCTTTCATTGTTTTGTTTTCAAACTCTTTTTCTTGGTCTTCTAATTCATGAAAGCGTCTCTTCAAGGATTTCTCAAGGCCGTGGAAATGTTCCTCAAGTTCTTTCCATTTCAAGTTGAGTGTAACAGCTCGATAACTTTCAAGTTCAGCAAACGCTTTTTGGAGCTGTTGTATCTTAGAATTTGTAGAATCTATCAGTGTAGCAACTGAATCGGAGTCTTCCATAGCAAAGAAGCTGAAGAAGATAAATTAAAGAAACAAATACCATATTTCAACATCCATAGTCACAAACCATGTGCAGTAGTATTAAGTTAACTAAATACCTATCAGCAATTACAAATACTCATCATCTTTATATGAGAAAAGCCATACTTGTGCCTTATGAGAAAAACCATACCCGTGCTATCAAAATGAAGAGAAATAAAGCAAGGGAAAACAGATAAAAGCTAGCCATTGAGGATATGGTTATAATGAATAACGATAAGATTGAAAGCAAAAGCTACTACGATTTAGGGATATTATATTATATAACTATATAAAATAGGAATCTAGCTGGTAAAGTTGAGTAATTAACAATGATCTAAAAACAAAGCTCTGTGAGTGAATAATTTTAGGGCTTTAAGTTTGACGTTCATAACTTCCCATTGTGAAGTTATTTCAGAACTATTTTGCTGTACTAACTTCTAAGTGAAGACTGGCAATCAGACAATGAATCAAAACTTATGTGAGTAAAGTGCGTTCCTCCATATTTTCATCATTTAAAACTGTATAACCAGCCCCTTTTAATTGCACAAAATATTCAAAATTTTCCACACAAAAAAAAAGCTAGTTTCGTAACTTAAAGTTTGTTTCCACGTTTAGAAATGAAAATTATTTTATCTGCATGACCATAAACATAATCAGCATTTAGTAAGGTTATTCTTGAATTTGTGACAAAATGAAAGTTCAATGCAATAATTGCAATACTATATAGCTAAAGTCAATAGTATAAGTGAAAAAAGGAAACAATCTAACACATTATCCCTCACGGACAACTCATTATGGCAAGAAGGAAGAAGCTAAAACATCATCCAAAAGCTCCAGCTAAAAATTCAAGACAAAATCTCAAGAGTTCAACCAACTTCACTATTTTTTACATCATATTTTAACCCTTCACCAAATCCTCAAGCATTCACATCTTTATAATTTGTATGGCAGCTTGATTAGTCACTAAAACTCGCAAGGAAACAACCAAAAACAGAAAACAAAGAAAATGTCCGGATCCAAATCTTTTAGAGTCACAACAATAACAAAAAAAAAAAAACCCTAAAATAGAAACAGGAGCAAAATTTGCGCAACATTTCTACTCAACAATTAAGGCAATTTAATTAAATAAAAAAAGACAACAATAAACTGAAAAGTTAAAACTAAAAACTCGCGTCTTCTAAGGCAAGATTTTCTTCCAGCAGAGTAACGAATTTCCAGAAAACAACAAAAATTTCACAAAGTTCTACGCACCACAGTTGCATGAGTTGATTTCGCGCGCAATGTTTATCAAAATCTCTCGAACAGAAAATCAAACGTTTAACGGAGAAAGCGGATTATTGTTCCGCACAAGCAAACAAATCCGATCTAAACCGACAGCAAGAAAACAAAATTACATAAAAATAATAATAATAATAATAATAATAATAGAGAGAGAGAGAGAGAGAGAGAAATGAAGAGTTACCTGATTGATCTGAAAGAAAATATAACATAGAAAAAGAAAGAGAGAGAGAAATCCTCAATCCATTTTTCTCACTTGGAACTTGTAAGTAACCCTTGGAGAGAGAGAAGTGAGAAGTGAGAAGAAGAAGAAGAAGAGAGTGTGTGGTGTTTGTTTAGTTAAATCAGAAAAAGAGAGTCAGAAACGTGACACTGTGACTCTCTTTCTTTTCTTTTTCAATTCTTTTTTTTTGTTTTTTGGCAGTCCCGTTCCCGTTTTGGCCTTCACCGTTTACGGACAGTACCAACTACACTTAAGAGCAAATTTTTGCTGCCACCTTCGCACACGTACCACTTCTTTTTAAAATTTGTCACTTGTATTTATTTTATTTTTTTTATTTCACTTTCATCTTTTCTTTTTTTGTGATTGGTTTTTTTTACTGAATAAATGGTATCACCGTGGTACCTTAAAAATTTCTCTACACTACAGTGTTTTTCAGTTTTTGTATGTGTGAGCGCGTTTTCGACAAAACTATGAAACGGACATTCTTCTTGGGAGTTGTTACGGTGGATACATACCATAAAAGATACGCTTTTGTTTCTTTCTTTTTTTTAAAAAAAAGACACAAGTATTCTGGATATATTATTTTAAAGGGAGCATTGATCTCAAGTCGTAGAAGACACTTCTTCTCATGTTATAGATGAGTCCCATCATATGTTAAAAAAAATAAAAAGGTAACAAGCATGTTTATCAATGTATTAAGGTAATTCTCTCGTATAACATAAAAGAATAATTTTCCTATTTTAAATATTTATTCATTTTTCGTAGTCATCATATGTATATATTAAATGTTGATTTAATATTTTTCATGTTATAGGAGATAAATTTATCTCTTACATATATATAAAAGTGAGAAAAAGATATAGAAAGACAAAATATGAATCCCACATATTTTTATATGAATGTAGGAGAAAATTTTATTTCCGACAATATGAGAAATAATAAATCCTAAATGTTTATAAGTTGTTATTGATTATTTTAACAATAGTATAATAATAAAAAATCTTACACTTTATATCAAATTTTGATCATTAATTTATTTTTATTTAATGGCTCAAATATCTAATAAATAAATATCTAACAAGTAGTAATAATACTAACATTTATATTTCTTAATTTAATTTTAATTCATTATCTTTGTAAAAAAGATTTATAGTTGATATTTTATATAATTGTTTACATGGATAAATTTATTAAATGAAGTATTAATAATAGTATAAAAAAAGGTTTTATGCTACTAATACATTTAAATTAAACTATTTATCTGTGTTTTTACCGAGGTATCTCTACATGCATAAATGTGAAACTAACATGTGATGCAAAACGGGTGTTTAGATAAAATCCTCCCTAAAATAGCAATGATTAGAACCTAGTCATCACAGGTTTTTTTTTCTTTATTAAGATATTCTTACAATTTCATTAGCAATTGCATTAAGTAGAGTTTGAAGTCTTCGCCATATAAGAGTTTGGCTAAGTGACAGGGATTCATCACCAGTCCAAAAGGATGGTAGTATTTAAGATCTTATAAATCTCATATTAGTTATCTACATATTTAATGTGGGACTCCTAATATTATCACTCTTCACGGCGGCTTTCACTCTGATCCGGTGGTAGTCTTTTTTCTCTTTGGACAGCTTCACCCACCTATCATGTAACCCTTTTCGTGGTTCGACTCTCAATGATAACACCAAATGATAGGGATCCGAAGGATAAGAGTGCCCAAGACCTTATAAATTTAATACTAGTTACCTACACAATCAAAGTGCCTAACAGTAAGTTACCATTGCGCCTAATTCTTATTGGTAATATTTATACGCATTTTATCTTCGCAACTCTTCTTGTATTTTCATTTTTATTTTAGTGAGTTTAACTTTGTTAATAATTATATAAAATATCAAATCTAATGAATGATATGGCAATAAATTATAAAATACACGTGTCAAAAATGTGTTTATAATTAATGTCGAAGCCAGAAAATTTTGAAAGGGGGCGAAATTGCAAAGTATATTCTTATTTTCTAATTGCAATTATCTATTTGACAAAATAAAATACACAAAAAGGGTCGCAACTTAAAACTTTTATAAGTTTCAAGAGGAATGATCACTATATAATTAAAAAAAATAAAGAAATATATTCAGAATTAAAGGCTTATATAAATTTAAAAGATGACGATCGTTCACCCTAATCTCTCCTTCTCCACAAGTACTTATACCTCAAAATTAAAGTATTTATATTGCTCTTTAAATACTAATTACAATATTAGTATGTAAAGAAAGAATAATCACGTTAGTATCGGAATAGTCCTCTTTTATTTATATTTTTCTCTCTTGAGCTTTCTTATATGACTCAAATCTCCTATTTTTGCTTCCTGTCTTGTTTCCTTATTGAAAAGAATTTGGAGATTCAAGCTCAGCAAAATAAAATCATACTTTAATTTATATCATGCAAAATGCTCTCTCATAATGTGTGATCAACGTCAAACAAAATGTCATCTAATAATGTGCTCCACTCCATGATGTACTAGTTTAAGGTTTCACAATTACTAACAGAATTATGTGTACTTTCCACCACAAACATAACCATATCCACATATGCTACGTGATGTCCCCACTTGTATGAGAATATTGTCTCACCCCACTATATATAGAAAGTTCCTTCTAATACATATAAGTGAGGTCACTTCCCACACCGACATTTTCGTTCAAAGTAGAATTTATTTTACTTAAGGAATTGTACAACTACTCTTACTCTCTAGTAAATCAAATCATTAGTTAATTAATTAATTAACAAATTAAGTAAATTCCTCATGTTGGTTCATGTTGTGAGAAGATTTGTGAACAATGGTTGACCAATTTCCATTATTGGGATTACTCTATTAGTTAATAAAAAAAAAAATTAGTATAATCTGGAGGTATTCTCATTCGAGGAAGAAGGCACATCCTCTGACCCCAAAGATTTTTTAAGAATTTGCTTGAGGTAAGGTTTGAACCCCTGACTCAAGCAAATCCTTGGGAGCTCAGTTGCCAACTGAATTACCTTTGAGAGTTTATTTTCAAATGTTAGGATAGTACCTATTCCCTTGTTAAAAAGGAAAAATAAATAAAATATAAGTGAAAATAATCATAAATGTATAATTAGTATAAATGTCATTTTTTATCTATTTAGTAAAAAGGAAAGATTCGTTTACAAATTTTTTTTACAAATTTTTACAAATTACATTATGTACTCTCAGAAGTACATAATATAACCTAGTGTACTTCCGAGATTACATAGTATAGTTTTATAAATAATAAATTTATAAATATAATCCTCAAGCAAGAGATATACTTCATATTTAGTATTCCGTATTATTGAAAATATTTTAATCTTATTTTATTTTTTGGATCTTCAAGTCAAGTTGCAATTTTTTTATTTTTTTTTGATAACATAAAGTTGCAATTTTTTATGTGAGAAAAAAAGTACCCATCGTTACCACCATGATTCGGACTAGGGCACTTTCGGATTGAGATCTCTAGGGTTGAGCGCCGAGGGATGATAAATGCCATTAACAAGTTAATTAGATGAAATTTTAAAGTACAATTTTTAATTGAGCTAACAAGTTTTTTTTTTTTTTTTTTTTATAAATAAGAGCTAACAAGTTTTAATTAAGGGACAAAGACTCAGACAGGAAATGAAGAAAATTATTTATTTATTTTTTTGGTAAGCAAGAAAATTGATTGTTGCAGGTTATATTATTACTATCGTTAATTAGTTATATATTAATCATATATTATATAAAGATTAAATACTTAAAATTGAAGACAATTCTGTCACTGACACAGATAAATAACTAAACAAACACTAGAGATCATAAAAACTTCTTGTCATCCTAATTAATTATATTTAAAAGTTCATTTACTTTAATGAATATATATATATATATATATATATATATATATATATATATATATGGAGAGAGTTCTTTTAACTCTAAAGTAAGATTTAAAATCTTACTATTCATCTCAACCTTTCATTTCTTTTAAATCTAAAGGTCATAATTCATCTGCTTTAATGGACATGTGACTTAAGGTGTGTATGACAATCATTCTATTCCCTAGCACTGTTTCTGAAAAGAAACAATTTTTTTCTATTTCTGTTCCTTGGAACATTTTCTGAGGAAAAAATGTGTTTGATAACATGTTCTATTTTTATTCCGAGAATGAGAATTGTGTTTTATAACACAACAAATAATATAATAAAAATAATTCCTATTAAATATAAAAAAAATTTCGGATCATCACTTTCCTTTCCATATGGTATGGTTGTGGTGGTGGTGGCGACGAGGGGTGGCATGGTGGTGGTGGCGGCGGCGGCACGACGGTGGTGGTGGCAATGATGTAGTGATGATAGTGGTGGTGGTTGTGACAGCAGTGGCTGCGGCGATGGCGGTGGTAATGGTGGTGGCGGCGGTGGTAATGGTGGTGGCGGCGGTGGTAGTGGTGGGGATGGTGGTGGTGGAGGTGACGGCAGTGGCTGCGTCAATGGTTGGTGGTGATGACGATAGTGGCTGTGACGATGGTATGGTGGTGGTGGTTGTGTTGCCATCATGGAGATGGTGGTGGTAGTGGTTGCGGCGGTGGAGGTGATGGTAGGTGACAGTGGCGGTGGTGGTGTAATGGTGGTGATGGTGGTGGTGATGATGATAGTGGTTGTGACGATGGTGGTGGTGGATGGCGACGGTGGCGGTATCGGTGATGGGTGCAGCAATGATAGTGGTGGTTGGTGACAGTGGTGGTGATGGTAGCGGTGGCGTTGTGGTGGTGGTGGAGGTGACGACAATGGTGGTAGGGATGGTGGTTGGTGGCATTGTGGCGACGACAATGGTAGAGGTGGCATGGTGGTGGTGGTTGTGATGACATCATGGAGATGGTGGTGGTGGTGGCAGTGGCTGCGGCGGTGGCGGTGGTTGTAGGTGACAGTGGTGGTGGTGAGGGTGGTGTAATGGTGGTGGTGGTGGTGACGGTAGTGGCTGTGACGATGGTGGTGGTGGTTGGTGGCGATGGTGGATGAAGCAAAGATAGTGGTGGTTGTGACAGTGGTGGTGATGGTAGCGGTGGTGTTGTGGTGGTGGCAGTGGTGTGGTGATGGCGGTGGTGGCG